GTCTGCAGCTTGTCAGGTGCTCTACCCCTGAGCATGAGGGGGGCATGCTGCCCTGGAACACTCTGGAACCCATGGATTTCCATGGTGAGGCATGGGGCCCAGTGTGATTATATGATTATGTGTCACTCCCAGTAGCAAATATGTGATCTGCATGCTCTTCCTGAGACAGTCTGCCTTGGGCTAGCACATCCTGTGCCGTCTCTCTGTGAGGGGTTGGGGCTCAGAGGCATGTTCCCACCATGAGCCAAACTTTCTGTACTTGCTAACTAGCTCTCAGTGACCACAGGACTTGCAGGGAGTAGGACTCTGGGACCAACTCAGACTTGATATGGATGTTATTGTTCAGCCTGTGTTTTTGCCAACTGCAGTGGCTCCCTCCTTTAGGCTGGGCCAGACATGCTAAGGATGGCAATGCAGTACCAGAAACCTTTGTTAACCCTTTAGTGCCTGCAATGCGTCTAAACAATGTGGAAGTGAGATGATATTTGATTTAGCTCAAAAATTAAAAGCTAGTTACTTTATGTATGGCTGAGCTTCCAGCTCTCCCCCTTCTCCTTTGTTCTGCTGTCCCTATATGCTATTTCCCTATTCCTGTGTTTGTCCTACCCTCCTCCTTGAAGTCATCCACATAAATACTTGGGGGAGCAATGCAGACTTTCCCAGAGATTTGATGGAGGGGTCTTTACATCACATCCTGCAGCAAACAACTTCAGTATCCCCAGGTTCTTACCCTCAGGAAGTCAGCAGGTGGCCTTTTTTCTCCCTTCTACAATATACAGAGGCCTGCCTTCCTGGCCCCTGCCACCTCATTCTGGTCACTTTATGTTCCTCTTCATGCAAGGTGGATCATGCTAAGTTTGGGCCTCATTCACCTATCATCTTTATAAGGGGGAGGATACTGGTGAAAAGTGATTTCAGCAAATTTTTATCTTTTCAATTTTCCCCTGGAATATTTGCAGGCTCTACAGAAAGTTATCGAGGCAGTATCAAGGGTGGATCACAGGCCCAGTCCTTGGGTCTCCCCTCCCCTCCTTTCAGAAGTATCTTATTCTGCCATGTCTAGTCCTTCCTCCAGGGACCTGACCCGGAGCAGAAGGCAGCAGGTCTTAGAACTCTGCTCCAGCTTTCAGGGCTACACCACTCTCCCCATCAATTTCCCCCAGCTTTAGGTTTCATCAGAGGCAAATCTGGAAAGAGGACCAAGACGAGGCTCCAACCCAATTCCTTCCTCAGCCCCAGGCAGCTTTTATTAGCCAGCCCTTCCCCTGGGATCTCAGGCCCTGCAGTGGAGACTCTAGGGCACCAGCAAGTCTTCTGCCCATGTCCAGGGGACACAAACCTCTCACCATTCTCCCTTTTCCTGACTAACTTCTGGAGGGTTGTCATGGGCAAAGCCTCCCAAGTTGATGAATCACAAGCAGCCCATGGACCCAGGCTGGTGTGGGGTGTAGTGGACACAGGAACTGCAGTCTGTTTATCATTAAAACCCTAAGTCATGTCAATGGCTGGTGACCCAAGTGATCATCTGAGCAGAAGGGAGCACTTGTTCCTTTCCTGAGTACAGGCTGGTCAAGGACTTTGCTCCTCATGGGGCCAGTCATGCATCTACCCATTTCTACTCCCAAGTCCGAAGTTGTATCCCAAGACCCTGCTGACCTGTCCTGTTGGCCAAGAGCAACCATCACTCCTTCTCTTGCCAAATTCGCAACACTCTCAGAGCAGATGCTAAGGGTCTCTCCTGAAGGCTGAGTTTCACCAGGGAGGCTTTGCTGCAAACTGCTGCCAAGTATTTTATTCCAGAAGGACCTGAATTTGCTAAGCCTGTGCATGGTGACACTCTGTGCTGTCTTGTGTGGTGCAAAAGTTTGTGGGAACATTGAGTGAGTAGCGTAAGGCATCCAGTACCTGGCAGGAATACTGGTGCAAAATTGCATGGCAGGAAAACCTTGCGATCTCTGCTTCTGCTCCACCTCCAAGGCCTGCCCACCCTCAAAGTCCCAGAGGAGACCACAGTTCTGCCCCACCCCCCCTCCTCTCCACCTGGGTCCTGGTTCCCAGTGGTATTTCTGGTGGGTCTGGTAGAACATAGTTTTCCTTTGAGGCTCCAGTGTCCACCTGCTGGCCAGCCCAAGTTTGAGTCTAATCTCCAAAGACTCTTTCCAAAGATTCTATCTCTTTACAGGTAAGGGGAGGAAGGGCAATGAACAACCCAGGCAGCAAAGAGCCTATACCTTCAGAAAACATCCAGGCTGGCTTGAATCAGCTTTCTGCATACTTCCCCATGGAAGCTACTCTAGTAGGTGTAGGTGACACAGTTTCACAGCTTCCATCTGAAGCAGCCGAGCATAAATAGTACTTTCATCTCCAAAGTGGAGTCCCTAATCTCAGAGACCACTGCAACTTTCTTATGACTTCAGGAAGGCATCCTGGGACCCTGTGGCTCAGAAGGTTGGGTCCATGGTGGTGGGTAGTTGTGATCGGGTTGGGGTGGTAGCAAGCCTGGCTCCGTCTTAGACAAAGCATGGATCTGTGAGGCATCTGGATTCTGCTGCATGGATGTAACCATCCTGGAGGCCCTGTGTGTGACCCAGACATCCTTGCCAGAGTCTTGTGGTTTAATTGCCTACAAGTGCAGTCTCTGTCCTGGCTGATGCTCGTCAGGTGCAGAACTCAACAGCTCTCCAATCTCCCAGGCAATAAGGAACAACATTGAGTTTAGTGACAAGTTCCTAGAGAAGTTGAAGGTGAGGGTCATATCACATGTTCCTCCTAAAACAACAAAAATCCCTCGAAGCCTCTTCTTTACCCCATAGTCATTGGGGTTCCTCCCCTGCCACTCACCTGCTTCATGCAGAATGTCAGCACTCTGGCTCTTCCCCCTCCTTTCTGTACCCCCTTGGGCACTTCAATGTCCTCTCTGCTCCCCTGGGCAGTCAGTTATCGTCTGTCTCAGCTCCAGCCACCAAGCTTCCGTGGCAGGCTCTCATAATGCTAGCACTGCATGGGGCCCTCCCTCTAGAGGGACCCTCTTAAGCAAACAGTTAAAAAAAAAAGTTACCTGCAACCTGTATTTTGTACATTTTTAGCTTCTAATACTGTGCCACCCGCAAGTTTAAAAGTCATAACTGGAGAGATTAGAACATCCCCAAGTGTTACAGTCTGAGCAGCCTTGGTGGGCTCTCTCTTTCTTTCTCTTGTTCTCTCTTTTTCCCTTTCCCATGTGTATTTGTCTTGTTGCTCCTTTCTTCAGCTACATGAGAACTGCTACACAGCACCAAGTAAGGCAGGCTTACTAGACTCACAGAGGCTCCAGGACTATCCCTCACCCTGTCACTGAACCTTCACTGATGGCAAACTGTCACTCAACCTCAGCCGACTTGGCTAGAAATGACAGTTTACAGGTTACTGGCTGCATCTGATTTTGCACCATATGTCCTGGGCAGTTTCGATAGCATGGTCATGATTATTTATAGCTGTATGAGCTCTATGAGCCTTGCCGGAGGGAGGGCTTTTGCTCATGCTGTCTTTGCCCCTTCACCCTGATCTTAGAGAAGCAAGTATGAGGCAAGGGAAGAAGACACCCAGCATTTCATGGTTTTGTTTCTGATGTTCTCTAGAGCTTTAAACCATTCACGTGGACATCTCTGGGCCTTAGTTTCCTCTTAGTTTAAGGAAAGGTTGGACTAGACCAGTAGTTTTCAACTCTGTTAGCTGTGCTTCCCTTTTGTCAAGTTTTTTACACAAAGACCCAATATACAGGGCTGAAGGGGCACAGCAAGAATTTGCCACATGAAGCAGACATGGGAAATTGCACCTCTGAAAAATGGGGATGCAGGGACATGGGAACCAGTAACTGATGACTGTTACTCTGCAGAAATATAAGACCAACACTGCCCTATCTTCTGATCTTTAAGGGCCTAAAGTTGACATTCTTGATTCTTTATGTGATAGAAATTCATTTTTTTAAATTAAGCTTCTTAGTTTGAGATAATTGCTGATTCACCTGTAAGTTTAACAAATAATACAGAGCTCCCATGTACCTTTTACCCTATTTCCCCCAGTGATAGCATCTTGCAAAACTTTACCAAAATATCAATGGTATCAGTGACTTTGCTGCAGTCAGGACACAAAACATTATGTCACCATAAGACCACTCCTTGTTGCCTTTGCAGAGCCATGCCCACCTGTGCCCACCTCCTCTTAACCTCTAGCAACCACTAATCTGTTACCTGTTCTCCATTATATCACTTCATCCTTGTCAAGAATGTTATATAAATGAAATCATAGAGTATGTGATCATTTTAGGATTCTTTTCCAAACAGCATAATTCTGGGAATTTATCCAAATTGTTGAGTGTACTATTACTGGTTGAGCATCCCTAATTCAAAAATCCAAAATCTGAAATGCTCCAAAATCTAAAATTTTTGAGCACCAGTATGATGCCGCAAGTGGAAAATGCCAAACCTGACCTCAGGTCACAGGTTGCAATCAAAACACAGATACACTACTGGGGAGAGTGAAGCAAGTTGGAGGCCTGTGTTGGCAACTTGGTGAGACTCTGTCTCAAAATAAAATTTTGAAAAGGGCTGGGGGTGGAGCTCAGTGGTAGAGTACTCATCCAACATTCAACCTTCAGACCATGTTATAAGGTATATATGAAACAGATGGATTTTATGTAGCTTTAGACCATTCACATCTCTGGGCCTTAGTTTCCTCTTAGTTCAGACTTGGGTTCCCAAGATGTCTCATGTATATGCAAATATTCCAAAAAAAAAAAATCTGAAATCTGAAACAATTCTGATCCAAAGCCTTTCAGATAAGGGCTACTCAACCCGTAGTTCATTTGTTCTTTTTTATTGCTGAGTAACATCCCATGGCATGGATAGCAATTAATTTTTTATTTAAATTTTATTTATTGATGTACTTTTTGCAGTGCTGGGGATGGAACCCAGGACCATGCACATGCTAAGCTGATAGTACACACAATTACACCCCAGTCATAGTTTTATTTATTTATTTTTATTTTAGTTGAATTTCTGTACAGGTTAAACAATCTGTGTTTATGACTAGAAGTGTCCCCGTGGCCACCAGTTTGCACCTCTGGTCTGGAGGATGTTGGGGGTCTCTCCAGCCAGGAGGGTCTAGGATTCTGGCATCTATCATGCTGGATTACTCTGTCCTATACTTCTACATTTCTGACTGCTGCTTACCTGCTCTGTACTGCACCCTCAGCTGAGCAGACTGTGGGTTGAGCCCCAGAGATTCCACTGGTAGGAAGTGGCAGGAAGTCTGATCCTCTATATCCGTGACAGTAGCCTTGTGAGTATGTGTGTGTTTGTGTGCACTCGTGTGCCTGGGTTGCACTTAGGCCTGGGCGGACAGGGACACTAGTTGATGTGTGACAGCTGCTCTCTAGGGATTCTGAAGGTGAGGTAAGGCCTGGGCAGCATAGGAAGGTGACAAATCTGCCCACCAGACCTCAGCACAAAGGATAGATGCCCCCCTTTCTGTGCCCAGCTAGGGGAGAGAGACCTAGGCCCACCTGCTTGTTTGGTTCAGTCCCAAGAGCCCATGGCCAAAGCAGTCCTGCCCAGCCCTAACCACATGGGCCAGGGAGACCCCCTCCCCAACTTTGCCCTCTAGTCAGGCCCCTTCTAAATGGGCCCCCACTCACTCAAAGGAGGGACTTTTGTCCCTCCATCCTATTCCCAGGACTCTGGTATTTCCCCATTGGACCCAGGCCTCACCACCTAGAGAATACCCCATGGATGGCAAAGCTTCTCTAGGCCAACTTCCTTCATCCCATCCCTCTGCCCCAGCTTCAGACAGGGGAATGGTGGACACGTCCCCTAACCCCTCTCTTTCTTCCTCTTTTCTCTCTCTTTTCCTGTCTTTCTCCCTGTCTCTGTCTCTCTGTCTCTCTCTCTCTCTCTGTGTGCCACAGGGAAAGGTTTGAAACGGAACGTAACAGCCCACGTTTTGCCAAGTTGCGCAACTGGCACCATGGCCTCTCGGCCCAAATCCTTAACGTTAAAAGCTAAAAGGCTGCCTGGAATGTCCTGACCCCTGACAGGCTGGACCCTCTCCCACCTCCCCCTGCACAGATCTGGCATGTGAGCCCCACGGTGATGCTTGACGATGTGTAACTGTGCTGGGGGCACCTCTGGTAGCCAACTGCAGCACTTCTGCTCTCTACCCACCCCAGAGTTGCTGACTGGGGCCCAGTCCCACTCAGTTCTGCACCCACCCTCCATACCCAGGGCAACCCTCACCACCCCCACATAGCCAGAGCTCTGCTCCCCTGCACAGGCCCTTAGTTGTAGATCAGAGAGGACATGATGGGGTTTGTTGGCATGACACCCCAGAACAAGGAAAATGAATGTGCCATTCCTCATTTTCCCAAACTCTCAGTTCCTGGCCTCGTGCTATCTTGAAACAAACTGACCATAGATCAAGGTCCTGAGAGGAGGCCAGCTTCCTGGCCCTGCTGACTGCTCTGCTGCCCCCTGGAGGTCAGGGCAACCTGGACCAGGGCTCTTGACAGAGGAAGTAGAAGTCAGAATAGAGGAGACAGAGACCCTCCTGGCTGTGGTGAGATCCGGGCAGGCACTTTCTTCCTGTACCGTGTGTGCTGGCTCCATAGTTTTTTCTCCTGTATATATAAGCATGCTTGTTCTGAAATAAAGAGGATTTGAAATTAACCAAACCAAGCCCCAGTCATGCTGTACCTGTGTGCGTCCCCCTGAGAGGGGCTATGAGGGTGGTGTCTGGGGCAGAGAAAGGACAGGCACTGTGAGCAGAGGGGCAGGGGCAGCCTTCCAGGTGGGACCCAGAACAGATCTGCTTTCCTAACTCATGGACCCCACACCCAGGCTAAGGAACCCTGGGAGGAAGACAGCCTAGGAATCCAGGCTGTGGCCCCATGGGCAGCCTCAGCCTCCCATGGGGCAGTGTGAATGGGGGGATACCTGTGCCCCCTGCCTCTCCTCCTACACCCAGCTACAACCAGAAGGCAGAGCCACCATCCCTTCCCATCAGAGAGCATGCTGCAAGCCCTTCTCACAAGCAGGCATTCTCAGCCCAAAGGGGCAAGAGAAGGGCTCTGGGACTAAAGGGCAGTTCATGGAGAAACTTGAAAGGCTGGGAAAGGGGCTCAAGGGAGAGGAGATGGAAAGAAGACCTAGAAGAGTATGGGTGATGGGAGAACAGGGAAGGCAAGCAGCTGGATCTTGCTCCCAGCCCCCACCAGCGGCCAATACTATTCCAGAGCATTTAGCAAGGGCTAGCCATAGCAGCAGCAGCTGAAAAGGTTCCAGCTGGGCTGGCAGCCTCACACCGTCCCATCCCACCCACCTGTCTACTCATCAGCCTGGTCCCTGACTGCTTGGGATCATAGGCTGAGAACATGAGGACAACTTCCCCTGACAAATAGGGCTGGATGCCCTGAGTCCTTTTCCCACTCCTACCATCTCGACATATCTTTTCTTTCTGCCTCCGGAGACCTTAGCAATCTCACATGGAAGGGCTGGCCAGGGATGCTGCTCTCTCCTGCCAACCTCCCCTGAGATGCTCCCCAAAGCTCCCTGACAGCCTGTTCCTCCTTGGCCTCCTATCTCTTCTTGCCTCCAGCAGTCTGACACCAAAACCAAGGAAAGGCCAGGTAAACATCACTCTGGCTGAGGAATCCACCTTGGGGAGGAGAGGGGGATACCTTTCCCCTTTCCTCCTGGAAAACAACTATATTTGACATTTTACTGAAGACTTGCAAGGCCCAAGGGTGGCTTATGGAGCAGGGAGCTGCCAAACAGAAAGAGGTCCCAGACAGTGGGTATCCTGAGGCTGCCAGAGGACCTGAGCCAATCACTCAGAGTTGGCAGGCTCTAGGACCCCTGTCCCAGGCCTCCAACTTGCTGGAGCCACTTAGTTGAAGACCTGGAGGGTTCTTATTTGCTTTCTTGCCTGCCTGTGACTTCTCAGCTACCCCAGGCCCCTATGTGCAGTGTCTCGTGTAACCCCAGGCCAGGGGTCCCTATGAAGCCATTTGATATAAGCAATAGTGATATTCTTATTCAGTGTCCATATCTGAGGGTGTCTGTCAAGACGTTTAGCTGCAGTGGGTGCTAAAGGAATTAGAAAGGGACAATGGTGTCTGTGACTACAACCTAAGATTGATTGTGTGGGGTGAGAGACAGATGTCTCTCCTACTGGAGGATCAGAGAAGGCTTCCTGAAAGAAGAGTCAGCATATGTGGTCTTCAGGAATGGTTAGGATTGGGGTGTGTGCAAATAGGAAGGGCTGCACAGGCAGTCTGAGCAGAGGAAGCAGGGTTGCTGAAGACAGGGAGTTAATCATTTGGGCTAAAATGGAGGGAATGCAGAGGAGGTCATGTTCAGTAGGTCCAGCTCTCTGATCTCAGGATATGAATTTTTTTAATGTATTCTGAGGACAAGGTGGAGCGAGCAAAGGTTTCAGGACACCACTCCCACTCCAGCTGATGGGGTGCAAGTCACACCGACCACAAGTCAAAAAAGCAAAGCAATAGGCTAGGATTCCCCTGAGCAGTATTCACCAGGCTATAAAGATGGAATGCAGATCAGCTGGGTTCAATTTCACAATTTCACAACCAGTCACCTGATTGATATTCTGTCATCATCCAATCAACAGATTTTTCATACACCACTATCTTAGTTCACACAAGTATCATCAATATTCTAATAATGGCAATCACCCCCTTTCACTCCACCAACACCAATCTCAATATCCACACCATCACCAGCAGATCCAAATTGAGCCCAGTGACCATGAATCTAAAGACTCAGTACCACCACTAATATCATCCTTTTCAGATGTAGTAGGTCCATCATCAATAACAACAACATAAACTGGACCCCACCAAGGGCTACCACAACAGGGCAAGGACAAAGGGTGGTCACACTCCTCTTCAATGGTGCCCAGGTAGAAGCAAGAGTCAAGCTATGTAAAAAGATATAGTCCCATGCAATTGTGAACATTTGAGTCTAGTTTAGTTTAGTTTGATTTTTTGCCTAGATATTTAGAGTAGGCTATACCTCCTTGGGGCTGGAGGTATAGCTTTTGGGTAGAGCATGTGCTTAGCAATGTATGAGGTTCAGGGTTCAATCTCCAATGCCAAAAACTAAAAAAAATAATAAATAAAGTGAATTATGACCAAGGTAGGAGGCATCTGTAAAATCCTAGACCAGCTTGAGGTGGTCTCACAGGCAGTTTTTAGGACTAAAGCATGTAAGTTTTCTGCAGTGCTTGCTCTCTGATGCCTTCCTTTTGGGATTTCAGAACTTCATTCAGGAACTGAGCAGGAACAAGAACCCAAGATCCTTTAAAATGTTCTTTGTTGCCTCCTCTCCCTTCCCTAGGCCCTGGCTGCTTGGTGTCTGCAAACAATGGTCCTAGGTAGGATGCAACTCAGGAAGAAGCTCCAAGCAGCAGGCTCATGCTCATGCCCCCATATCCCTGGTAGTGACCTTGGTCCTTTCCTCGGCAGAAATGAGATGGTATTAGTGGTGGTGCTGGGTCTTGAGGTTCATGGTTACTAGACTCAATTTGGATCTGTTGGTAACGGGGGGAGGGGGTTGTGGTTGTTTTTGGTGGTACAAAAGAAGGTGACTGCCATTATTGGGATATTGATGCTACTCATGTTAACTAAGATAGTGGTGTATGAAAATCTCTGTTGATTAGATGATGACATAATATCAGTCAGGTTGCTGATTGTGAAATTGTTCACACTGTCACCCAGCTGATCTGCATTTCATCTTTTAGCCTTGTGACTACCACTCAGGGGAGTCCTGACCTTGTTGCTTTGCAGCGTGGCCAGGGTCCTGGTTGACATTATGGTCTCTGTGAATGATGCCTCATCAGCTGATCAATGATGAGTTTTCATAAGGTCCACATTCAGTTCCAATTTTATCCCCTACAACACAGGGTTCATTTGGAGCTATGGTTGGGGAGAGCTGCAGGTGAAGTGGTCTAACAGCAAATTGGAACAAAGGGGATAGGCAAATCCAGCTTTTTATTTGCCCTTGCTGGAAATTTTCCTTGTTCTTATCCTATGCGGTGTCCTCAATTCCCAGAAGTTCATTGGAAGTGTGGGGTGGGGCAAATCAAGGAGTCTCAGGTCCTATGTCAGCTCTGACCTTCCCAACCTGTTCATCCTGTAAGGTCAGACTGAGCAACCAGCTCAGCTATAAGACTTCAAAGCCTGCAGCTTCTTCTCTGAGGCAGTCACATAACATGCATGCTTCCAGAAGCAAGATTTTTCACAGAGATTGGGCAAGTGGCCTCACTAAAGGGCCAGGGGCAGGCATTGCTACAGGCCTGCCTGGGGAAGGCCCCAGGCAGACTATGGCCAATGCCCTTGCCCATCCCAGATACCTTCCATGAAGCTTTTGAGAAAAATGACTCCTTCTCATGGGGCAGTCAACCCACAACTTTGCTGCTTCTCCATTTCTGTGCCTCCCTGGTCTTTTCACTCTGTTTCATTCTCTTTTCTTTCATATACCTCACTAGATGGAGTAGAGTAATTGGGTGATGCTTTGGTAAAGAGCATCGGGCCTTCTTGCATTCTTAGCTAGGGCAAACTTCTCTAGCACTTTGCTACTCCAAGTGTGGTCCATGGGCCAGTAACATCAGCATCCCTGGGGAGCTTGTTAGAAACGTAAACCCAGCCCCATTCTAGACCTGCTCAACCAGAAGCTGCATTTTAACAAAATCCCCCAGGTGATTCATATGCATTTAAAGTTTGAGAAATATAGTGATTAGGGCTCAAGCCCTTCTCTGCCACTTGAGAACTGTGTGATGTTTTATCAGAGATACAATCTCTCCTGATTTCAGACTCCTCATCTGTAAATTGATACTCACCAAACCCATCATACTTGATGATGATTGAAAGGATAAAACAAATAATGGGATAAAGCTTATGCTATGGGAAGAACTCAGTCGAGCGTAGTACTCTCATTCCAATTATTACCAATAATAATAGTGCCTTTTATTGTAGAAAGATTCCACTCGGCTGATTACAAGAAGAGTTTTCTTTTCTTCCTCCATGAGGTTCTGCTTAAGTTTTCAAATCAAAATGACCCTCAATCGTTTTGTCCCTAAGGGTAAGCTTCAGAGCCCTGAGCAATTAAATACTCTGTTTTCATTTTCTCGTCTACTAAATAAAGTTGATCAGAGGGGTGTTATGAGGAATTAAAGACATAATGCTCGACACATAGTAGGTCAATCAACAAGTAACATGGGGGGTGGAGTTATTCCCACTTATAAGATTTGCATTTTTTTTGTCACTGTTGTTAAAAATACAAATGCCAATCAAAGAACAAAGAATGAGCTGGGTGTATTTGCACACACCTGTAGTTCCTGCTATCTGTGAGGCTGAGGCAGGAGAATCATTTGAGCCCAACCATCCTAGACAGGTCTGGGCAACACACTGAGACCCTGTCTCAAAAAAAAATTTTTTTTTCTTTTCTTTCCTGTAATTTAATTTTTATTCTTTACCTCATTTCACAGGTAGCAGAAATCTAATGCCATAAACCCAGGCTCAGACTGTTCTTGTCTTCCTGGAGTGGTTCTGGAAAAGAGTTATTTACAAGATGCCTAGGCATTCAGAGTTGAGACATCTGGGCATCTGGTCTACCTGTCCT